TAAAACTTTTCAAACGCAGCATGCTCACAAGCTTCAAATACTCTTCCAAAATCATCATCGTCAGCGTATAAACCTTTGATATGCTCGAAACCTAGACACTTTGCTCCTAGAGTAGTTAGAATTGCGTACCTTCGAGAAAGTGCATCGGCTACCACATTTTCCTTACCTTTTTTGTACTTGATTACATATGGAAAAGTCTCAATGAACTCCATCCATTTGGCATGTCTTTTGTTCAACTTTTGCTGTCCCCTCAAGTACTTTAAGGTCTCGTGGTCGGTGTAGATCACAAACTCCTTTGGCCACAAGTAATGTTGCCAAGTCTCCAAAGCTCGCACCAAAGCATACATCTCCTTATCGTAAGTCGGATAATTCAATGTCGCTCCGCTTAACTTCTCGCTGAAATACGCTATAGGACGTCCTCCTTGCATCAACACAGCTCCAATTCCTGTACCAGAAGCATCGCATTCTATCTCAAAAGTAGTACTGAAATTCGGTAAAGATAATAAAGGAGCATTAGTCAACTTATCCTTTAACATATTGAATGCTCTCTCTTGCTCTTCTCCCCATGTGAAACCCACGTGCTTCTTGATAATCTCGGTTAAAGGTGCGGCGATGGTGCTGAAATCTTTTACAAATCTACGATAGAAACTGGCTAAACCATGAAAGCTGCGCACCTCTCCTACTGTCTTAGGTGTCGGCCATTCACGGATTGCTTTCACCTTTTCTTCATCAACCTGTATTCCATCAGCACCAACAACAAAACCTAGAAATACTAATTTGTCAGTTACAAAACAGCACTTCTTTAGGTTAGCATATAATTGCTCAGCCCTTAAAACCTGCAAAACAGCTCGCACATGCTCAATATGGTCATCAAGGCTTCGACTATATATCAAGATATCATCAAAATAGACAACTACAAATCGACCAATAAAAGCACGCAGAACATGATTCATAAGTCGCATGAAAGTACTAGGTGCATTAGTTAAACCGAATGGCATGACTAACCACTCATACAACCCGTACTTGGTCTTAAATGCAGTTTTCCATTCATCCCCCTCTTTCATCCTAATTTGATGATAACCACTTTTCAGATCAATTTTAGTAAATATGCAAGCTCCATGCAATTCATCCAACATGTCATCTAGCCTAGGAATAGGATGTCGATACTTTACCGTTATGTTATTGATTGCTCGGCAATCAATACACATTCGCCAAGACCCATCCTTCTTTGGCACCAACAAAACAGGAACAGCACATGGGCTAAGAGACTCTCTCACATATCTTTGCTTTAGTAATTCGCTAACTTGCTGCTGAAGTTCCTTTGTCTCTTCAGGATTGCTTCGATATGCGGGTCGGTTAGGCAATGGTGCACCAGGAATCAAATCGATTTGATGCTCTATGCCTCGAATCGGTGGTAAACCTCCAGGAAGCTCATCAGGAAAGACATCTTCAAATTCCTGCAACAAAGACACGACAGAACTTGGCAAATTCGGGTCAAGTTCGTTAGTAGTAAACAGTGCCTCCTTGTACAAAAGTACAAGTATTAGTCGGTCCAGAATCAAAGCTCTCCTCACTTCACTCGATTTTGCATAGAAATTCTTTTCTCTCTTTTCTTTTCTCTCTCTTTTTCTCTCGGTTTTTACCACTCTACTCTTATCTTCCTCTCCTTTTACTTGCGTCTCAGAGTTTCTACGCAGGCCCTCAGTTTTATCACTTTTTCTCTCTCTCTCAGCCTCACGTTGTAGTTTCAATTGATCTTCATACACCTCAGTAGGTGTCATTGGCACCAATGTGTATGTCTTCTGATTCATCACCAATGAATATCGATTAGTGTACCCATCATGATGTACCTTTCGATCATACTGCCATGGCCTACCAAGTAAAAGATGCCCTGCTTGCATAGGTATAACATCACACATCACCTCATCCTTATATCGCCCTATCTCAAATGGAACTCGGACTTGTTTCGATACTTTTACTTCACCACTATCATTCAACCACTGCAATCTATATGGTCTTGGATGCTTCGTAGTCTTCATTCCCAACTTCTCCACCATGGTACAACTTGCTACATTTGTACAACTACCTCCATCAACAATCAAGCTACAAAATCTTACCATTCACCAAGCATCTTGTATGGAACAAGTTATCGCGTTGCTGGTGATGCTCCTCCTCTTTGACTTGAACACTAAGAGAACGCCTAACAACCATCAATTCACCCTTTGCTGGCATCTCAACATCACTACAATCCTCCAATGGTGGCATGTCATCATCCTCTTCCTCCCTCTCACTTTCTGATTCAACATCATCATGTCCAGTCATGATCATCACCCTCCTGTTAGGGCACTGATTTGCCAAATGACCCCTGCCCAAACACTTGAAACATTTAATATCACGAGTTTTAGTGTTAGGGTTTTCAGTTTTACCTGAAGCCGGATTCGAACCAACTTTGCCATCCTTCTCCTTCTCCTTCAAAGTTTCAGTCTTGATATTGTTTCCCTTCCAATTCGGCTTCTCGTCTCTCTTCCAATTAGACTTCCAATTCGAGCTTGAACCTCCACCACTCTTGTAATTTCGATCCAACTTCAATTGCCGCTCAACTTTGATGGCTTTGTCCACTAATTCCTCCAATTCAACGTAGTGTTGCAGCTCTACCACCCTTGCTATATCGCGGCTCAAACCACACAAAAATCGTGACATTGTGGCCTCACGGTCTTCCACCACATTAGCACGGATCATAGCAATCTCCATCTCTTTATGGTATTCTTCCACACTCCTATTACCTTGTGTGAGATTTTGCAGCTTATGGAATAAGTCTCTGTGGTAATGACTAGGTATAAAGCGCCTCCTCATCACTGCTTTCATCTCATCCCACGTTTCTATTGGTCTTTCACCATTGCGTCTCCTGGTAGTCACAAGTTGATCCCACCAAATTATAGCATAATCAAGTGAATTCAACATGCAATTTTTACCTTTTGAGCTCCGAATATCGCTGGCAATCAAATACCATCTCCATCCGTTTCTCCCATTCTAGATACGCATCAGGATCATTCTTTCCTTGAAAAGATGGAATCTTCATCTTAATGTTGCCAAGCTCATCATCTTCTCGACGTCTAAATCCTCGGCGTCCGTTTCTCCTCTCAAACCTGCCATCTCGATCATCTTCTGTATCGGATACATATGCATCATCAAATTGCCGCTGCCATCTAGGTTGTGCCCTAGGCTCCTCTCGCTGATTTTGTGGCCTCCCTCGTGATGGCTCTTGGTCATCTTCAAGTCTTGTCTCACATCTTGCAACTCGGTTGCTAAGTGCTTCAATTTGTAAACTCAATTGCTGGATGCCTGCTAGAATCGCATCATCCCTTGGATGAGTGCGATCCTCCCTTTGATTCACACTTCCCTGGCCTGAGCCTGACATTTTTTTTTTTTAAACCTGCAAGAAAATGTTAGAGATAAAAGAAATCTCACTAGTCACTCCCTCACGTTTTCCGCTCAAAGTGTTTGTCACTCCTCTCGTGTTTAACTCAATTTCGGCTTTTTCTTCCCTCAATTAGACTCACACACTCTTGCCTTTTACCTCTCGTTTCCTTCTAGCAAGCTCTTTTTTTCAGACTTGAATCCAGTCTCACAAGCTCCTCACAACAATCGATAAACCACCAAGCAAGATCAAATTCAGCAATATACCGCTCAACTCAGCAATTCAGCAAATTTTCACTAACTTCGGATTCAGATTCAATTTATGCTACTGAAATTTTTTTTTCTATTCGGTCCAACTATCAATGATAAAAACAAACGAGTCGTCCTCTTGAATTTTTTTTTTTTGGCTTTTTTTTTGCCGAATTTTTTTTTTTTGGCTTTTTTTTTTGCCGATTTTTTTTTTGGTTTTTTTTTTTTTTACGAACTCAAGTACAATATAAAAAAAAAAAACTAGGACCGAAAACCCTAAATCAAAATTGAAATCACAGCAAGAACAAATTCAGAACCCTAATTCGATTAATAACGAAACCCTAATTCTATAAACCCTAGTTTCTATAAACCCTAGATTAATGAATGAAAAGCAGTAAAAGTAGGATAACTAGATCTTGTAGAACCAGCTTTGATACCAGATGATATGAATCTGTGCGGAAGATGATCGTTCTACGAAGATCTATGAGTTACGAATTGCTGACCTCAACCCCCAATCGAACCTGTGATTGGTAATATCGGTATGAACGCGACCTGTTGACGAACCTGTGTCAACCAATCCACGCTATAACGCCACGAACAAGAGAATTCGCGATCTTGCTCGATAAGTTTAATTCGATCGCCACAAGGGAGCCTTGATAAGATCTAGTCCTCAAAAGAACTCAAGAAGAAAACTTCTCTCTATAAAAAAATTATGTCCCTCCTCTTAGAAATCTATAAGCAACCTTATATATGGTGCTAACCCTAATCCTAATCCTACTAGGATTAAAATTACAAAAATAACCTTAATTGCTAAAATTCGTCCAAAAATGGAAAAAGGCCTAAAAGTTCATCTAAACGACTCCAAATCGCTAAAAAACGTCATCAATCACTACTAAAGTAGTGAGTATTGATCAGCGGCCCGTTTCCAAGCGTCCATCCAAATTTGAGCCAATTCGGTGTTCGTCAATTCTAAACTCCTTCGGAATTCGCTGGACCAAGAGTAATCATGTTGCGCCAAGGAGCTTCAGAATCTTCGAGTCTCGAATCCAGATTGTCTCCATTCCAAATATCTTGAACCATGATACCGACAGCTTATTTGAATTCCTTCGCTCTCGCTCGAGTGATCGGGCCTAGCGGATAGAATAACGGGTCCCTAGCACCTCCTCCTCGATAGGGTTCGATGTCCACATCATTCATGGTTAGGATTCATCCCGTACGCATTGACGTCCTGTTAATATGTCCACACACCCCCAAGAGAAGCAGACCTTACCTTGCATTCGCAAAACGAAATTCACTTGTATGCGAACATGAAATTGCAGTTACTGATGAGAGAGAATTACGCGACATTACATATTACAAGCGCACATATTCTACATAGTGTACAACATACATACATATATATATGGTAGCTACACAAATCAATTGAATCTCTCAAAAATCTCATCGCCGCCGTTGCTGTCGCCACAGTCAGAAACAGAGACTGCAGCATTGACGCTCGTGGGGAGACGCGGCGCAGCGAACGACGTCCACGAACATCTTCTCGTCGCAGGGGATGCAGAGCTTGGAATCAGCACTATAGTCGTACTCTTCTTGAGCTCGATCCAAGAGCGCTCTGAAGAGCGGGTGACCCAAGACTTTGACCTTGATCACGAACCGCTTGTGATCGTCTCCAACGTAGACCACCAAGTGACCCTTTGGGACGTCTCTGGGGATGAAGCCATTGTCGTCTGCGTGATGCGTGGTTGGCCAAAACACCCACTGGAGAGAGCAACTCTCGCAGGCTGAGGAAGAAGAAGAGATGGTGTTTCTGGCCAGTTTGCTCCACCTTTTCAGGGACGACCTCAGGAAATGTTTCGCCTTCATGGTCTTTCCCGATATTTCTGTTGATGACTGGAGATTGGGAGAGGGAGAGGGAGAGGGAGAGAGATGGGTCGTAGTACGAAAGAGTAAGGCTTTAAATAAATGATGGAGTGGAAGGAAGAGCTAAGACCTTGGAGCATTAAATGGTTGGCATGATGCACAGCTAGGCTGCTAGTGAAGCGGTGATTTCAGTTGGTCAGTGAAAAGGGCCAAAAAGAAAGAGTGGGTCTAAAGTGGTGGGACAAGATGGCTAGTACACACCGCTATTTGTGAAGTTCTGATAAACCTGACAGAGATCATAACCCAACATTCTTCACGTATAGTGGATGATAGCGAATCCTATCATTGCCGTTTTGATCGATAGCTTTAGGGTTTCCAAGATGCATGGCTGATAATTTATTGTTTTAGAAGTTTGGATTCTGAATATTGTGAAAGACTTTAATTAAATGATTAATTATTAACTTGTTTAAATTTTTGTTTATGGTCTATCAAATCATTTAGGCTCCTTTGCTTCGCAGAAAACATTTTTTGATATTTGATTTGCTTAGGAAAATAAATCAATGAAAAATATATTCCTAGTCATGTTTAAATTCAAGAAAATGATTTCCTTTTTAAAAAATCGAAAATCAATTTTCAAAATATGACTACGTATCAGTACTTGGACTCGAAACTCTACGCTTGGGCACGGAAACCCCAATGTTCATTTCCTACGTCTAAGACCAAGTCTCCGGCGCCCGGACCTAAGTCCATCAAGGTCAAACTTCGGACCCCAGTGCTTGTGCCCAGATCTCTAGTCCACTTCCAAGTCCATCAAGGCTGAGTCTGGAACCCCAATGCCCAAGCCCCTGACGCCTACGATCGGGTCCATCAAGGCCATCCATGACACCCTGGCCTGGGTCCACAAAGGTAGAGCATGGGATCCTGGTATCGAAGCTTGGACCCCCAATACCTAGGCCCAAATCCACAAAGGTCGTGCCTGAATCCACAGAGGCAATGCTCAGATCCATCAAGACGGGACCTGGGAAGCCAATGCCTGTGCTTGGGTCCATCGAGGCCAAGCCCGAGACTCAGGTGCCCATGCCTTGATCTTCAAGCGCCCGAGTTGGGGTACATCGAGGCCGAACCGAGGACTCTAGTGCTTGTACTCGGTTCCTCGATTACCTATGCGTAAATTTCTAACACCCAAATATTGTATGTCTACTTATGAAAATCAAATCAGATTTTTCACACCAAACGACAGAAAATATTTTCCAGTTCATTTTCAGGTTTCGGATGATTTCCTAAAAATTATTTTCCAGAAATGTCACATTTTTCGTAAAACAAACGGAGCCTTAATATACCAATTTAGTATAATACGCTTAATGTAATTAGGATTACTCAATGTTATGAGTGTGTTCAAACAAACTAAGCAATCTTGTCATCGAACGATGTTAATTATTCATTTTTTGTCGTGCTTTGGTTTGAAGTCTATCATGGTTAGCCAAGACCATTACGACTAGAATACAAATATGCTATATCAAACATATATATAAACGTGGAAAAGCTCGATCTTTACCTATGATATCATGATATATATTAAAATATTTGGTTTGGCCAATCTCTGCTGACACACTGAGATTGGCGTCCACATACATTAGTTAAAGCTCCAGTTACGGGAAGAGAAGTAGCATGGTCAAGTGCTTGAACGTTTTTAGTCCATCCCTTAAACGCACTGACTTTTCTCTTGCTACGAATGATATATCGAGTACTTTCCCTAGTGGTAATTATTCATTCTCTTCGAGTTGCCCTGTGTTTGGTGGCTCGTCTCACGTATTTGTGTTGGAGAGTTGCGCTACGATACGAAAGTGTACGAACATGCATTTTGCATGATTTTATAAACCATATTAATAAAAGATAGGTGAGATTCGATGCGAAGACGTACAACTTCTGGGGGACACTTTAAAGAGAGGGAGGTGGTTTGATCAGAGCTATTGGGGGGATCTCTCCCTCTCTCTCTCTCTCTCTCTCTCTCTCTCTCTCTCTCTCTCTCTAAGTGAAGACCCCACAAGTTGATTGTCCAGAAGAGATAAGATTATAAATAAGGGAGAAGATATGGGAATGGGATAAACTTTCTCGGAGATACACGCGAGTTATATGGAGTCATAATTGGATATTGTAAAATATATCGACTTTTGGTTATAGGGAGAGAGATTTTATTCGGATATACACTTCTTATATGCCAAATATGCTCAAGCAACTTGTTCAGTCAGCAACACCAAGTCACACAACGGCATAGAAGTCATTATTTGACTGAAGCTATGTAGAGTCGATACCTTATCATAAATTCTTTGAACAGCTTTGAATCAGATGGCAATAAACTAGTAAACATTGTTGTGTGGAGCTACTATGTCTATGCGCAATAGTTATCGCGTGAAGCAAGCACGTGCGCTCAATTGCACATAGTATTACCATACCAATTGATAATATGATCCAATATTCAGTTTATTATTACCCACATTAATTAATTTCATTAACATTTTATTGTCCGCATTAAGCTGCGTGAAAACTATGGTGATCGCCAATTTTAAGATAACTATCTTGATAGAAGACTTTATCTATAAAGGTGCAATGGGAATATAAATAGGTCTAAGGCAAAACTCCTCAGGATACAGAAAAACATACCATCAATGTTGAGAAGACAATTGGCTAGAAGTACTCATTTACCGATCATTCAAGTCTCTGTGTATCTGGTTTTCGACTTCATCAATGGTTAGAGGTTAGTATAAAAATTTTCACGTTTGTGCATTCGATTCTGATTATGTATGGTTTTTGTTCGTCCATCAATAATCGGAATCTTCAATCTTTCACTAATCTTCTAACATGATCATCCGGTGGCACTTATTGGATTTACAAGTGGGTCATCGAATTCCGCTTTTGGATGCACATCATTTGTGTAATGATATGTTGCCTTGGAGTAGTTTTTTTTAGTTAATTATAGGTACCGATGGAATACATATAACTACTACACAAATCTCAAAATATGTGTGATTGTTAGGTCGTTATTAACTTGGAGAGTTCATGCCTGCACACCTATTTCGAAAAGGTTACATTCAGAAGGCATCGAATCTATCTTACCACCCATACATTCCATATATACATCCTTGATTCCCCCTTGTTAACACCTAAATTTTAGCTAATTATTTAATAATTTATTGCATAGAAAATTAGGGATTGACCCCGGCCCCCGGCAAAAATAATTTTCATTAAATTGCATATAGTTTTTAGGTGCATTTCATTGTATATAGATAAATTCATTAAAAAAAGGCATTTAATTTGACTAATGGTGGATTAAGGTTCTGAGCTTAATTGAATTATATGGATTGAGTTCATGAGGAAGGGGAAATTTCGGCCATGCCATGAAATGTGTCGGTGGCAAAAAATTTCAAGGCAAAGTACAAGGTTTTAGCTTTAATTGAGATGAGTTTAGCCCATAGGATTAGGGATGAAATTATTAAGAGTTTTGAGCTTAATTGAGCCCATAAGCAAGATTGAACTTGGACAGCACCTTGCCTTGGTCGAAATCCACTAGAGAGGGGAAGCTTTATTAAGTTTAGTTTAGTCAAAGTTAGCCCATTAAAATTTAATTAATGAAAGGCTTTGGGTTATTAGAGCCCATTGCATTAATAAGGCCTACATCAAGCCCGTATAATCAAGTTTACACTTAGGTTTTCACTATATAAAGACATCAAGTCTCACAAATTAAGGGGGGTGGGAATCTCAAAATTAGAGCACACATTATAGGAAGGTACCCACGAAAATCCCCAAACTGGCACACTTATAACAAATTTACCCCAAACTAAATTTTTTATCACGAAAAACCCTAAACTGGTACACTCATGACAAATTTACCTCCAAACTAATTTTTTGACCACCAAAAATCTCAAACTTCTACATTTGTAATAAATTTATCCTCCGTTAATTTCCGTTAAATTAGATTAATACCACGAAAAATCACAAACTAATACACCTGTGACAAACAGACGGTAAACCCCAAACTAACGGAAACTATCATGGAGTAAATTTGTCGCAGATGTACCAATTTGGGATTTTTCGCGGTCAAAAAATTAATTTAGGGTAAATTTTTCACAAGTGTATTAGTTTAGGGCTTTTAGTGGTATTAACCCTTATAGGAATACATGAGTATAGAAAAAAAAAAAAAGGGAGAAAAGAGGCACGGCGCGGCAAAGCCTTATCACGAATGCAACCTTGCCGGAGCTGTCGTTCCCCTCCAAGTTTCAGCCGGTGATGACGAAGCAGCCTTTCTGAGCGCTAACAACGAGCCCATCTTCCAGCTGCAAGTCATCGTGAGCAGCCGAGCTTCCTCCATCGATGCTGACCCTGCTAGTGCTCTTCACCATCGAGCTGCTCCTGCACCGTGACAACCATAGCATAGCCGCTGAACCTCCTGCCTCGACGAAGTTGCTGTGCGGAGAATCTCGCCAGTTCTGCCTGGCCGAGGAAGTCCCATCCGTGATTATCTGCTGCTCCTGGTTCCACCATCCATACCACCTGCTTGGAACCTTCAACAACGCTGCTACCTGGCCCTCTACGAAGCTTCTGCCGTCGCTGTTCCCCGAACCGAGAAGTCCCTGTATCAAGCGGCGACAAGTACTTGCTGTCCCAAGCCTGCATCGAGTCCTCCCTATACTGACCCTAAGCGAGTCTACTGCACTACTACCACGAGCCTTACAGCGTTATGCCTGGCCGTGATCTATGATAGCCCAGTCGAGCCAAGTCCTCTTGCTCTGTTTCCTCTGCTTTGCATATTTCTATTAAGTTAACTAAGAGGCGGCCAAAGCCGAGCCATCACTGAGACACCAGCCAATCCGAGACCTCCACTGGCAAGCTACCATCGCAGATGTCCTTGAGCATGCACCACCGCCGGCCACCACTATGAGCTGTCTGTCGATCCTCAAATCGAAAACTAAATCTTCAAACTAAGTAATTATCTAGTCCAAAATCAATTTGAAAATTTTAACACCTATGTTGTCGATATTGCAATCTGACCGAATATCTTAAGATCTTAGGCATATCTAATTAGGATTA